GAGACAAGCGCTGGCGGTCGGGTACCAGGCGGCGCCCCACAACAGGTACCTCGGTCTCTGTAGGCAGTGACGGCAAGCTCACAGGTGTTTCCTGACCGTGGAGTGCCCGGCAGGTGCTGTTCACGTACGTCAGTCCAGCCGGAGCTGCAGGCGTCCGTGTGGGGACGCACTCAGAGCCCGCAGGCCCAGGGTCGGCGTGGCTGTGGTGAGAGCGCAGTTTGGCCATGGGAGCTCAGCTTTGCCCAGCGTTCGGTGGCGTCCCCGTCACCACTGCAGAGGCATGGCTCAGCGGGGCTCCGCTAGGTTGCAGGGCCGAACAGATACCAGCTCTTTGCATTGAAGATAATGACCGTGCCCATTACGTGTCGGACGTTGGGGCCAGGCATCACCCAGATTACCTAAGTTCTCTTCATCGCAAAACTCATAGCCCCTGCTCAGCAGCTGGGAGCCCCGGCTTTGTGGTGGTCACATCTGGCTGTCCCAGCAAATGCAGGGTGGAGCCCGGCTTCACACTCGGGTGTCACTGCTATAGAGCCCACAGGCTCGCCACTGTCTTCACTGCCTTTCTAGTTATCAACGGTGAGGACCCTGAATTTTGCTCTTTTTCCTGGACCCTGAAAGAACGGCAGACGGGCAGGCCAGTGGTGTCCACGTCCCAGCAGTCCTTCCGCAGGGGACGTTTTGCCCCACTGTGCATGAAGGCTGCCATATGCTCATAAAGCTGCAGCGGTGCCCCAGGGGTAGGGAGGCCTGCATGACAGGAGTATTCGGTCCGACTTCCCGGGAGTGGGGTGCATCGAGCGGTGCGGAAGAGGCCTTGACGAACACCGGCCAGTGAGGATCGGCTGGGCGGGCGTGGTCCCAAGAACCAAAAGCTCCTTAGTTCGATTCCTGGCCGGGGCACATTCTGGGTTGCAGGTTTGGTCCCTGGTCGGAGCGCTCAAAAGAGGCAGCTGATAGATGTTTCTCCCTCACATCATTGTTCCTCCTCCTTTCTTTCTGCATGCCTTCCCCTCTCTCTAAAAACAAACAAAATCTTTTTAAAAAGAAAAGAAAAAGGAGGGGGAAATAGGAGTTCCCGTTGTGCTGCTTATTGTGCAGCCTGAAATTGGGTGGGCCAAGTGCCCGCTGTGGTGCCCGCCCGCCCACCTCCGTGGTCCTGATGTGGAGGCACAGAGGGACTTGGGCGCGTCATTTTTTTAAGTATGTTTTACTGATTATGCTATGACAGCTGTCCCAGTTTCCCCTGCTTTGTCCTCTCTCTGCCTGGTACTCCCCTCCCTCCAGCAGTTCCCCCCTTGGTTCATGTCCGTGGGTCGTACATATAAGTTCTTCAGCTTCTCCATTTCCCATACCATTCTTAACCTCCCCTGTCTATTTTGTGCCTACCATTTGTGCTGCTTACTCCCTGTACCTTCCCCCAGCCTCCCCTTCCCCCTCCCCCTGATAACCCTCCATGTGATCTCCATTTCCGTGATTCTGTTCCTGTTCTAGTTGTTTGCTTAGTTTGTGTGGATTTTTTTAGGTTCAGTTGTTGATAGTTGTGAGTTTGTTGTTACTTTACTGTTCATAGTTTTGATCTCTTTCTTAAATAGGGACTTGGGTACTTTTGATGGGAACATTTGACATCGCACTTGGCATCGCCATCTCACCGAGAGATGGGAAACGTGGCCCCAGAGTTCCGTGGGCTTTGCCTCAGCTTTCAGTCTACTAAGACTGAATTACAGAAATGCAGTTGTTCTGCTGTGTGCTTTACTTAGCTTTTTCTCAATCCTCAGCATCTTTTTTCTTAGTCATTCAGCCAGCTTCTTGAAATCCACCTCAGGCCTGTGACTGGGGAGACGGATCCGAGCCCTGAATCAGGCTGACGAAGGAGGGCGGCCGGGGCCTCGCCACAGGCAGGACTGATAGGACGTGGGGAGAGCGCACCTGGCCACTCCTTTCCCCAGGGGGCCCTAAGCCACACGTGTCACGCACCCTTATCCCCTCGTGTCAGGGCCTGTGCAGACGTTGGTCCTTTGGATGAATTGTTTAACTTACTAGATGCTTGAGAGAATCGTACCTAACAGCCTTTGTTTCTTGGACCAGGATTCCCAAAGAAATTACAGTGAGTAATATTCATCAGGCCATCTGCAACATTCCTTTCCTGGACTTCCTCACAAACAAACACATGGGGATCCTGAATGAAGACCAGTGAGTGGCAGGAAGGTGCCCCTGCAGGAGCGGGATCTGGAGCTGCATCCGAAGCGTCAGACTGCGATGACTCTCGTGTTTGGAGCCAGGGGTGGATTTCTGTGCCTCGGAGCATCCCGGCCGCCAGCCCCCTGCCTCCACCTGACTCGCTGTGTCACCAGAGTGCTCACTCCCGGGCCGGGTGCCTTCAGGACAGTCCCCTGACTCCATAGTGAAGCCCGGGGCCCGTGCTCTGTCAGCTGGCGTTCCTTCACTCCGTGCAGCTCCGCGAGCGGCTCCCTGAGCTGGGCCGGGCCCTGTGTCTTGGGTTCTTATCCCCTCAGGGTGTCCTCGTGGTGCCACCTTGGGCCCAAGTTTCCCTCCAGGAGTCAGAACATGAATCTGGCAGGCTAGAGACCTCATCCATGCCGTGGGCTGGGGTTGCAGGCAGCCCCCCAGTTACCCTGGTTACATCTGGAGAAGGACTAGGCTTCAGCCCGGGGCGGGTCGCCGCGGTGTGGGGGTCTGTGCTCAGTCCACGTGCATCAGACTTTGTGCGGAAGACACAAAGGCCTGGGAGGTTGCAGACGGTAAACTCTGCTTTTGCAGAGCACAGGAGCGCTGCTCCAACCAGTCAGAGACGAGGGGTAGACAAGCCCAGGTCAGGGGATGGGCTGATCCCAGCCCTGGCCCGGAAACATTCAACTGCAAGCAGGAGCTTACTGTGTTCACAGTAGACAATACCTGCAGACCCTGGGCTCTCGGCAGGCTGGTGCGCGCTCTGCCTGTGCCCAGCAGAGAGCTGGTCCTTGCCAGGCACCTAGTGTGGTCTGCAGCAGCTTCTGCTGCCCGTCCATGCTGGGCGACGGGGACCAGCTCCTACGACAGGCCTGCTGGGGTCGTCCTTGGGTCCATGTCCTGTTCCTCTCAAGTTTTCGCAAGAAGAAAGGGGTTTCCAAGAAAACAGTTGTGAGTGCCTTAAGGGTAGAGAAATGACTGCTGAAGCCAAAAGACAGGGGTGTCTGCTCAGAGGCTGTGAGAGAAGATTGTGTCTGAAATGGGAGGAGAAGTGGAGAGGAGGAGGAAGGTGTTTTAGCCGTCTACCTGGATGATGTCCGGTTCTGTCTAAAGACACTTTGGCCCGGGGTTCCTCACAGTTTGTGTGGAAGGAAAGGGATTAACTTATTCTGTTGGGAAGCTGCTTGGAGACCTTTTGAAGCCCGTGAGCAGTTAAAGAAATTCACCCAGACGACAGTTCGTTGTCACCGGTCCTGCAGATGTTTGTCAGGGAAAGAAGGGGGTGACAGGGCAAGAGAGCACCTGCTCTGTTCAGCACCTGAGCACTTCAGGTGCGGAGGGAGTCTGTTGGGTAAGGCACGGGCGTGCCCTGGCTTGGTGACAGAGCGGCAGTGCAGGCTCAGCTGGGTTCTGGGGGGCGCCCCGGGCGAGGGCCACGGGCCAGTGCACAGGTGCGGGCGGCGGCGGGCAGTGGCGGTTCTGCGGGGCAGAGGGTTTCATCCAGATGGAACAGGTGTCCTAAGGGGTGGAGGCCTAAAGAAATTATCTTTTTGCAAAAGAAATATTAAATGAATTAATCTCCATTTGTGTTAATGTTTCAACTGTATTTGTATCATAATGTGTAACATAATTGTGTAACAAAAATACCTACAATAAATCTTTTAGTATTTGTGACGGGTTCTTCTGAGTTTGAAGCACTACATAACACCTTGGTGGGGTTCTTCCTACATTAGGTCAGAAAGCCAGGATGGGGTAAAGATACAGGTACTTATGTGTGAAAGTCTTCCTCTTCTTCCCAAAAAGAACTTGAGGCTATGCAAGAAAAGGGTAACAGTTACATAAAAGTCTGAAAACTTTGGGAAGATGCATGTTGACCTTGGACATACTGACATACTGTCAGCTTGGGGCAGAGGAAAACAGAACTCAGCTCAGAGCCAAGGCGGAGGGAGCAGCAGCTCCTGTGTGACAGACTCACTGGTTTGTTGGGCAGGATGGAGGTGACTGCATCTAGGTCCTGACGCAGTTACTCCTGCGGCAGCCCCGACAGACCGTCTGCCTTCATAATGGCTAAGAAAACGACCAAAAACACCGGGACACATCCACCCTCAGGAAGAAACCGAAGGCTTTGAAAGCCGCCCCCCCCCTCCATGGGAGGCACACCGCTTTCTTGGCACCAGACTTGGTGTCAACCCGCAGGGAGGGGCATCGCCCGGAGGAAGGAGAATGGGGCTTAGGCTCCCTCCCTGGATGTGTCTCAGCCTCGGTTTTACAGGAGCCACCGAGCAGGCAGACATGGGTGCCACAGGCAGCACCTTGATTGGGGCTGCGCTCTCACTGCCCAGAGGGGCTGGCCACCTGGGGCCCGCAGGGTCAGTTGGGTGCTCACAGGGGAGGTCGCCCCCTCCACCCAGCACAGGCTGCAGGGCCACCTGCCAGTGGGGCCAGGCTTGCTCAAAAACTGCTTCCTGGAGCCTGGCCTGCAGTCCTGGAGTTACCGTGGGAATGGAAGTGTATTTGTGGTGGGGGTTTTTGTGTTTGGAGCACCACAGAGCACAGAGAGGAGGGGCCTCGCTCTGAATGACTGCAGGTGGGAGGACCTGGGGGGTCCCCCGCCGGCTGGGTGGGCAGAGCAGCCTCCCAGGTGACACAAGGCGGCTGCCGGCGGTGCTGGCTTGGGGTTCGCGTCGCTAATGGTGAGCTCTTTCGGCTGAAATCAGCTAACAGGTTGAACTTTTTATTTTAAAAAGCTTTTTACAGAATTAAATACAAAAATGTTTATTATATAGAACTTTAGTAAATAAGGTGTGAAATATGGAAAATTACTCATAAATCCCCATCTTAAGGATAACCCCCATTAATATTCCAGTGCCCGTCTGTCTCGGTCAATGTGTGTTGTGTGTATGGGATGCATAACAGGTAACACCATGTTAGGGTTTACTGAGAGCCAGAGTCAGAGAGGAAGTTTCTTCAGAACCCGATCTCCTAATAATTTGGTCTAATAAGGAAGGTTACCAGGTCGGGGAGTTTGAAAAGCCGTCTGTTCTAGTGCATCCAGAAAGGTTCTTGGGCGTGTGGTTATGCCAGAATGGAGCAGGCCCACCTCCTCCCCGCTGGGATAGTGTGCTGGGCAGCATCTAGTGAGGGGGGCTGTGTGGGTGGCGTTGGAGTAGATGAAGCACAGCGCCAGAGAACAGAGCCGGTCCCTGGGGAAGCGGGGAGGGGTGCCTGGGCCGGAAAGAAGTGGCCATAGCTGTGCTCGGTTGGCCGTTTCCTAAGCACCCTGCACCAAAACAAGGGTTTTCTGAGCCAGGTAGGGTTATCAGCCTGGTTGTGCAGGTAGGAAACGGAAGCTTCAACCGCTCACAGCGAATGAGCAGAGGAGGCAAGATCGGAGTCCAAGACGAGCGTCAGACAGTTCTACCCTAGGTTCCCGGGGGGTGGGGGCATGAGGGTGGGGAAAGGGGCATGCGAAGTGTGACAGGCGAGGTCCGTGGGTTCTGTGAGGGACTGCATTTAACACCAGTGTGGACTGCATCCCAAAGCGAGCGTTCCCAGTCTGGATGAGCCTCCAGGGACACCAGCAGCAAAGAGATTTAGTCCTTATTGTCATGGGGAGGATGAAGAAGGAAGTCATAGGAGAAGTGCTCGTTTATAATTAAAGAAGTGAACAAGAAATTAAAACAGTACATTTCTGCATGTTAGTAAAATCCGAGACTGTTCAGTTAATGTGCTCATGTCCCACAGAATGCCCAGCAGGCAGTCCCTTAGAAACACCTCCTAAGCCAACGAGGTCTGAAAGAACAGGATTCTGTGTAAGCACGCGGTTTGGTTCCCTCCCAGTATTCTCAGAGCCTCCATTCCCTTTGCAGGGATTAGGGGTGGGCCGTGCCTGCCAGCACTAGCACCCCCGCGGGTTTGCCCCCTTTGCGGCCTGAGCTGGAAACAGCCCCGCCTGCACTCTGGGGTGGTTCTGAGACCCGAGTGCCACCTCTATTATGGCTTAGGTAAGTGCTCCAGACCGGAGCCACTTGGAGGCTGGAGAGGGGCACAGATCCAAAGGGAAGTCCTCCAGTTTTCTTAACCAGAATTGGCCTAAATTGTGCCTCTGATCTTTAAGAAGGGAATAAACTCCTCCCTAGTGTGTGAAGGGCTGCGATGCAAACAGCACCAGGCTCACTCCCACACCGCACGGGTGGGACTTGGGTGGGACTCGCATGGGCGGGACTCGCGGAGAAAGGAGAGAGCTTTCCAAGGATGGAATGGGCTGCCTCCTCAGCAGGCAGTGAGCTCCCGGTCACCAGCGGGCGGGCAAGGTTAGTCCTGTAGGGACTGAGGCTGATGCGGCCGTCTTCTAAAAACTCCCGATTCTTAGAAAGTGTGGATGGTAGTTCTCTTCAAATTGTCAACATGGGAAGAAAAGGTGGAATTGGTAATAGAATGTGGGGCTCAGAAACCTCGCACAACGGAAGCGGCATTCGGTGGTTCACTAGTCCGAGCACTCCTCCCAAGAAACGCTGATGTGTGGTTAAAACATAAGGGATTTTGGCCATCAATTGTGTCTTTGAAACTGAAACCCTGTGATCTGTACCCTCTTCTTTCAGAAATTACTTCCTGATGACTGTGAATCACATGCAGGTGATAACCTAAGACTTCTACAACTTGAACGTGTGGGGCCGCCTGTAGGACAGGCACTCCCCTGGGTTGCCCGCCGTAGGTGACAGCACCGTCGTGCGGCCTGGGGAAGCGAGGTGGACGCGGCGGGTTCTTCCAGGGGCCCGTGATGTCCCTACACCTCAGCCCCGCCCCCGCCAACCAACCAGTTCAGTTCGCAACAGAACTGGTCCTCAGGTTCTCCAGCTTTAAAAACCGAAGGGTGTCTAAAAGGGCCATTTAAAAAGACCGGAAGCCTTCCACATGCTTCCTTCTTCAAGGAGGAAGAGGATGGCTGAGGTCCAGAGTTGAACCTGGTGGTGGCGTGTCTGTCTGTCCCCTGCTGTGCGCAGGCCTGCGGCCGGGTGGCAGCTTGGAGAGGGGGGACAGCGACCACGGTGGGAAAGACGGACCCTCCCCCTCTGGCAGCAGCAGACGGTCCGTGGGAGCTCCCACCGCAGTGTCCTGGCGCAGTGGTTCTGACCCCTCCCGGCCCAGCGGCGCTGCTCACTGCCGGGCTGTCACACGTGCAGGATCCCGGGGGCTGAAGCCTGAAAAATGGCTGAGGGGTTAGGAGCGAACTTCTTCCTCGCCTCAGGCACCTGGAAAACGAAACGTGGCCACGTGTCACTGGGCCTCCTCCACTTCCTCTCCCCCAGCTCCAGGAAAGTGCTTCCCCCTTGTCTTCCAGGAACTGAGACTGCTAACCTAACCGAAGGGCCCTCGGGGACCCTCCGCAGTGGGCAGGTCACCGCATTAGCAGGTCACACCTGGCCCACGGACCTTCCACTCTGCGCCCTGAAGCCGCCTTGGGGTGGAATCAGGAAGCTGACTGGCCCTCCCCTCCCTCCACCTTCTCTTCTCTCCCACAAACACCTGTCACTGCTGCTCGGTGGCCACGGGAGAGGCTGGGACGGAGGAGGGAGAGAGACCCTGCGCACCCGAGAGGCCAGCACTGGGGGAGACCCTCCTGGCCTACCGCTTTAGGGGCCCCTGCTTTACCTTCGTTGGGGGGATGCCTGGGTGCTCAGGACACTGCCACCCCAGCCACACGGCCATTTCACACCATTAAATCTGACTCCCGGTCCGCAACCAGGAAAAGGCCTGTCCCCAAGGTGCCCAGCCCCTCGTCCCGCAGCACCAGCTTCCGGCTGACCTGGAAGCTGGCCCCAGGGCTGCCATCCCATCCAGAGCTGTGGGTTGTGATAACCGTGGTGGGTTTTGCCTTCGTGGATCTTGACGGCTTCACTCCAGTCCAGGCCTGGAATTCCTGTCTGGAGCAGAGAACATGGTCACAGCCTCACCCAGGGCCAGCCACCCCGTCCCCTGACCGTGCAGCGGCCACTGCCCTTGCCCTATGCTTCTTGGAATATTCTTGGTTGTGCCCACTGCTGAAATCCTGCTTCGGCTCCATGTGCTCCTTTTTCTCTTTACAAAAACGACTAGGAGCCCTGGCCGGTTTGGCTCGGTTGGAGCACCATCCTATAAGCCAAAAGGCTGGGGGCTTGATTCCGGGTCCGGGCACATACCTAGGCTGTGGGTTCCATCCTGGCTGGGGTGTGTATGGGAGGAGACCAATCGGTGTTTCTCGAATCCATGTCGCATGCTTGCACTCTCCTTCGCTCCTCTTTAAAATTAACATATTTATTTAAAAACAAAACGGCCCTGGCTGGTGTGGCCCAGTGGAATGAGCTCCAGCCTGCAAACCAAAATGTCACAGGTTCGATTCCTAGTCAGGGCACATGCCTGGGTTGCAGGCCAGGTCCCCAGCTGGGGGCGTGTGAGAGGCAGCTGATCAATGTACCTCTCGCACATCGACGTTTCTCTTCCTCTGTCCCCTCCCACCTCTCTAAACTGAATAAAATCTTAAAAACAAACAAAACTAGCGGAGGAGACGCACTCCCTAGGCAGAGCCACTTCTCGAGAAAGGTCGTCCAGCCCGGCCTCCCCCTCATCCACTGTGAAGTCCGCTCACCTGGCCCTCACCCTCCCCACCCCAATTAAGTAGGGGACACTGAACTCCCTTATTGCCGATGAGCAACTGGCTCTGGCAGCTGGGGCAGGGGGTTAGGAAGGAGCTTGGTCAGCACCTGGATCTTATTCATCCCAAACTGCAAGCACCTGGTGGGTGCTGGGCCTCAGAGACAAAGGTCCCGGCCCTCCCCGCCGGTGCTCCCTGTATTGTCTCTGGGCCACTTTCACGGAACCTTAGAGGCCCGGAACCAGTGAAGGCCACTCACTTCCAACACGGGCCACAGGTGGCCCTACGTCCCTAGGAGGTGCTGGCCCGGACAGCGCCCAGCACAGCAAAGTGAGAAGGAAAATAAGGATCAACGTTACGTTTAGTTTTTAATAATTTGTCTTATTCATTGCTTCAAAAGAGAATAAATCACAGCGACCGTGACAAAAACCTAGAAGATGTTCTGGCTCCTTTGCAGGGCTCTGCACATGAGGACTGGTGCGCAGCAGGGCCAGCTGGCTCCCGGGGGGCAGGGCCAAGGCTGACCACTTTGCTCCGTGTCCAGGAGCAGCATTCTTTTGATGAAGACTTGACTTCTCAATTCCTCTGAACGAAAAAGACCTATTTTAATTGTATCAACTCCACGACTAGCTGGTGAGCTCGGGAAGGGAGAGACCTGCCGTGTCCACTGGAGCCCCTCGTTGAGGCCACGTTCTGTGGGAGAGCATCCAGCTGGCTGGGGCGGCACCGCACGTGGGCGGGGTCCGCTCCCGTCTCACCCCACCCACGGCTCTGGCTGGGTTTCTGGGCCTGAGGTCAATCAACAAAGCTGCCTGTTCTCCTCGGCAGGGGCGCAGCTGGGCCGCACGGGGCGGGCTGCATGCGCAAGGGGCCGCTGTCCGGGTGCCAGGAGGCGAGCTGGCACGGGGCTGGGCCCGGGCCCCAGTAGATCGTTTTTGCTGCCGAGGCTGCAAGCTTCCAAAGACCAGATGCCTGAGCCATCTGCTGCTCCGTTTCTCCTGGGGAAGCAGGTCCTCCCCTGGGTGTGCCCTTCTGTCCCCAAACTGAGCTGGGCCTTGGGCTTGGCATCCCAAGCTGCTGCTCCAGGGTGGCTGCGGGCGTCCCAGAGTGGGAAGTGACCAGGGCCAGGGGCTGGAGCAGGACCTGCGGCTGCTGCTGCTGCTGCAGCGGGGCTGGGGCTGGGGCTGGGGCCTTGGTGACAGGGGCTGGAGCAGGGACACAGAAGGGACCACAGACAGAATCAGCAGCACCTGCAGACTGCTCAGGAGAGAGGAAGGCAGACTCATGGCTCTGGTCAAGAAGGTAAGAGCCCCGACCAGTGCAGCTTGGATGGGCTTGGTCTTATTAAAGCAAAAGGATCTGTCACATCGATTCTCAGTCAGGGAACACACCTGGGTTGTGGGTCGGTCCCCGGGTGTGGGTGTGCAAGAGGCGGCCAATCGATGTTTCTCTCACACACTGATGTTTCTCTCCCTTTCTCCCTCCCTTACCCTCTCTCTAAAAATAGATAAATAAAAATTTAAAATCTTAAAAACAAAAATGTAGGACTGCCCTGGCTGGTGTGGCTCAGTGGATAGAGTGCTGGCCTGTGCACTGAAAGGTCACCAGTTCGATTCCTAGTCAGGGCACGTCCTGGGTTGAGGGCGTGCGAGAAACAGCCAGTCGCTGGCATGTCAATGTTTCTCTCCCTCCCTTCCCTTCTTTCTAAAGGTAAATTTTAAAAAACTAGGACTAGCCCAGGCCACTGTGCCTCCCCTAACCAAGCAGATTCTACCACTGCCCACCTTGTGTGGGTCTCAGCGGGACCCCAGGGCTGCCACCCCTCCCCCTGAGGGTGGCGGGCCTCCCAGGGCCACTCAGAGAGCCCTGGGCTGAGGACCCAGAGGCCTGGTTCTCAGCTCAACGTGGCTTAAACAAATCCCTTAACCTCTTGGAGCCTTCGTTCCCTCAGCTGGAAAGCAGGGTTACTGATACGCCCCAAAGTGTGAGCCTTCGTGGTGGGCGCTGGGAGACCAGGGAGCTGAGGCCTGTGGCACTCCACAGTCGGCCTGCCCACCGCTCCCTCAGGAAGGGAGCAGGGAGATGATTGAGGAAGGAGCTCTTCTAAAACTGGGTGGCGCTAGGCTGGGGCCCAAGGTGCCGACCAGCAGGCACAGAATTCCAGGGGAAGGATCTGAGAAGGGCCGTTCTGGAGGAGGCAGCGGGCTGGCTGTGGGCAGGACCCATTGTGTCCATGCGGCCCAGCAAGTAAGGCATGTCGTTTCTCGTGGACACCAGGGACCAGGCCGGGCAGGACCTGCTGGGTGCAGTGGCCATGACTGCTCTGACACTGCAGGGAAACAGCTCTCGTAGGTCAGGTGCATCTTGCAAGAAGGCAGACAGGAAAGATCGTGCAGGTCAGGTTAGAGCTGGGACAGAGGCCAGCTGGCCTGGTGTGGGGGGGCCGGGGGGGGCCGGGGGGGCGGGGGAGCAAGTTTGGCAGTGGTGCTGTGTCTCTGTAGGGGTTCGGGGAACAGGCAGCCAAGCTCTTGCTATTTCTGCTTCACAGGTGAGGAAAGGGGCAGAGAGGCCCAGTGTCCCGCCAGGTTTATGCAGCAGGAAGTAGGGCCACCACTGCAGGACACCATTCAAGAAACCAAGTGACTCACAGGAGGCAGCATCTTAGGGGATGACCTGTGGGGGCTGCAGATTTGGTCTCTGAGCCCTGACTGGCATGGCTCAGTGTGTTGGGCATCGTCCTGCAAACTGGGGTGGTTGCTGGTTCAATTCCCGGTCAGGGCACATGCCCATGGGGGCATGCCAGAGGCAACTGATCAATGTTTGTCTCTCGCACTAATGTCTCCTTCTTTTTCCATCCCCCCCTCTAAAAATAAGTAAATAATGTCTTTTTTAAAAAATTGATCAAGGGAGACATATCAGGTTCCACTGCCTGCTCTGTGGGAGCGTGTGACAGCTGTTCAAGTCCCTCATCTGTGAAATGGAGCCAGCAAGAACTGAGCCGATTCCAGGGGGTTACTGTGAAGTCCCAAGGAGACCGTCCATGGGAAGTCCTGAGCCTGACGCCCACTGCATGTTAAGAAGAGCAATAATCAGTGCCTCTAGCATCACTGGAGCTGGGAGGACCAGCAGCATGTTCAGGCCCGCCATCTGCTCACCACGAGTCTGAAGCCCAGCCTTTGCTCGAACATCCCAGTGAGCAGAGCTCAGCACCGCGAGAGGCAGAGGTCCCATCTTCAGTTCTCATCATTAGAACGTGCTTCCCTCCCTGAGCCGGAGCTGCTCCCTGAGTGCACCACCCCTCGTCCTGCTCCTGGCACCTGGAACATCAGCCGTGGGAAGGCGCTGCACACCCAGGATCTTGGCCTTCCAGGCCTCACCATTCAGGCACCTCCAGCCCGCTCAGAGCGGCGTGGTGCAGCAGCCAGAACTGACCCCTCCTCCCTGCCCCCAACACCACCACAAGTGAGAGCATATGCCCCCAAACACACACCCACCCTGCAACAACCAGTCCCTATCAAGTCCTTTCTTTTAAAGATTGTATTTATTTATTTATTTCTAAGAGAGGTGAAGGGAGGGAGAAAGAGAGGGAGAGAAACAGTGATGTGTGAGAGAAACATCAGCTGGTTGCCTCTCGCACACCCCCAACTGGGGACCCAGCCCACAACCCAGGCCTGTGCCCTGACAGGGAATCGAACAGGCGACTTTTCCATTCGCAGGCTGATGGTCAATCCTCCGAGCCACACCAGCCAGGGCCCTATCAAGTTCTTAAAAACTGCAGGCCCAGGAAGGAGCCCTGGGGAGACAGAAGTTCTATATGCCTTGATAATGGCGGTGGTGCCCGGGCTTATACAAAAGCCACCCAACTGTACACTTAGAGTGGATGGATTTTACTGTCTGGAAACTGTACCTCAGTACAGTTGATTCAAAACTAAAACTGAGACAGCATGGGTGGAACTGGAGAGCATTATGCTCAGTGAAATAAGCCAGGTGGTGAGGGACAAATACCATATGATCTGACCTGTTAGTGGAACCTAAGCAAAATATAACCAGAGTCATTGAAATTAAGAACAATCTGACAGTAACCAGATGGGAGGTGGGAGGGGATGATGGGGCGGGGGGGAAGGGGAAGGGTTTTCAGGAACAACTATAAAGGATCTATGGACAAAACCAAGGGGGAGTGGAAGCAGGGGAGGGAGGTGGGGATGGCTGTGCTGGGGGTGGGGGCTAATTACAGACAACTGTACTTGAACAATAATAAAATAATTAAAATTTAAAAATAATTTTAAAAAACTAAAACTGAGGTGGAAAGTGCATACCTCTTTGCCCTTTAATGCCACAGGTAGGAATTTATACTAAAGAAATTATGATGGGAGCAAAGATTTAGCTATAAGGATGCTTATCACAGAAGTAATTTTTTTTCTAAAAAGTTTTTTATTTTTCAAAGGTAACGCCTGTACATTTTTTAAGGTAATGGTCCAAGAGATAGAGAGAAAAGTCACTCAGTCTCTTTCCTCCCTGGGCAGGACCCACCCTTCTCGCCCCTCTATGGCTCTCTCAAAGGTCACCATTCATGCCGAGATATCCTGTGCTTATTGGAGCAGATATGTGTATGTCAACACCCCTTTTGAAAAGGCAAATAGTAGTAGGCATGGTATTGCGCATATTGCTGGTTTGATGTGAACCTTTTATTTTTATTTTTATTTATTGGTTTTAGAGAGAGAGGAAGAGAGAGAGTGAAGCATCGATCTGTTGCTCCACTCAATCACGCATTCATGGGTTGATTCTTGTATGTGCCCCGACTGGGACTGAGCCTCCAACCGCAGGCATGGGGACCAGGCCCTGACCCGGTGAGCTCCCCGGCCAGGGCTCGATGCGGACCTGTAGGGGGGCTTCTGTTGTCAGTGCATTCTGGGCTTCCCTGTGGCCCAACCTATGGCGGAGCCATAGTTAACCAGTCCTGTCTGTCAGCAAGACAGTGGGGTTGTTTGCACCTTTTGCTGTACAATGTTGCAACAGACCTTACATTCCTTAGCTCCACACCACATAGGGAAAATTCCTGGAAGTGAAGTAACTGGACCAAAGGACTAGTGTTTGTTATAGCCCTAGATAAGAATATTCAATAACATGACAGTAGATTAACAGTATTTAGACAGACAGATAGATAGACGCATATCTATAGGATAAAATACTTTACATCTATTAAAAATCACGTTGTGGAAGAACATCTAGAAGTATGGACAGACATCCACAACATATACAGTAAGAAACTAACCCTGTAATAATTATAAATAAACATGCACTCAAATGCATGTTAGGATCCCTCAGGGGTGTCCAAACTTTTGGTATCTCTGGGCCACACTGGAAGAAGCAAAGTTGTCTTGGGGCCACACATTAAATATGTTGTGGGGCGTAATCACAAAAAAAATCTCATAAATTTACAATTTTGTGTTGAGCCGCATTCACAGCCATCCTGGGCTGCACGCAGCCCACAGGCCACAGGTTGGACCCCCCTGGTAGAAGGAACTACCAGATTGGGGTGGGCTTATTTCTGTAATTTCTCGTTTTTCTACAGTATGTCCGAGTTTTGTAATGAAAGAAGGGAGAAAGCCCTCAGGCGTCCTGGGGCCGAGCTGGGGGGCGCTGTGCGTGGGGAGGACCCGCCGACCTGTTCTCAGTGAAAGCCAGGTCAGCGGCCCTCAGTCAGTGGGGTCCCCAGGGGACCACCAGAGGGAGCTCAGGCGGTCTGCCTGCGCGCACCGCTCCGGTGGCTGGGCCCACCTGGTGGAAGTTAAGGGGAAGCAGATTTCAACTCAGTCTAAGACAGGGCTTTCTGACTCGGTGCGGCCCAAGGAGGGAGCCGGCTGCGAGTGAGGTCGTGAGCTCCCCGTTAGCGGAGGTGCGGAGGTGCTCGCTCTTTCTCTCCGAGGCTGGTCAGGGAGCAGCGAAAGAGACGCCTGCCCGCCCACGGACCAAACGGAATGACCTTTGAGGCCGCCGGCGCTCTTGAAGTCGTGTGGGATGAGGGTTCCGGGCACCCCCTCGCACCCATCCATCCCAGTCCTCACTGCTCCCGGCCCCCATACCTGTACGATGTGGTCGCTGCTGCAGCCGTGTCCGCATCACCGATGGGGAGCACGTAGATCCCCCGGACAGGGGAGGCGGGGGACTTGCCCCTGCGGCCGACCGCTCCCGGCCTGCGCCCCTGGGTGGCATCTCTCGGCCTCGTGGGCGCGGGCCACGAGCCAAAGTCCCGCTGGTACTGAGTGAGCGGCACATCCCGGCCGGGGCCCCGGATGCCTGCGGAGGACGCGCCTGTGCGTGAGGCAGCACCGCCGGGGCGCGGCTCCTCGCTCTCGAGGTCCGAGTAGTTGTGCAGGGTCAGAGGCACCGCCACGTCTGAGCGGTCGAGCTGGTTCCAGCGCCGCGCCAGGCAGCAGAGGCGGCTGATGCAGGGCCACGCCATGCCGGCCCTGCGCCGCCGCTCGGCTCCCCGCTCGGGTCGCGCCGCCCCTGCCTGGCATCCCCGCCCCCGCGGCCCCCCAGCGCCACTGCAGCGCCGCCCTTTGGCGGAGGGTGGCCAGGTGGGAGGCGGGAGGGCTCCGCGAAAGCCTGGGGTGGGGGGGTTGGGACCTGTGTGTGCACAGCTGGAGCGGGGCGAGGGCCAGGGAAGAGCGCGCGACCGGAAGGGCGCAGAAGCGAGGATGGGGGAGACGAAACCGCCTGGAGGCTTTGACAAGGGTCCAACTTTTAGATGTGTCATAATTTAATCCAAAGTTTCCTAAATGTTGTCTTATAAATCAGGTCTGGCTATGCAGAGGGCGAGGGCCAGAGGGTGAGATCCTTGGGGATCAACCTCAGTCACCTCTCAGTACAGCTCGCCTCCGCACGGGTGTTTGTCTCTGCGCGGGTGTTTTTCTCGGGGGACCATCGTGGCTGCTGCATTTGGGCCAGGCTGCACCGCGGGGACTCAGTCACACAGGGCAGGTGCATAGATGAGGGGATCACAGGGAAAACTTGGGGCTATGCTTCCCAAAGAACACACGTTTGAATCAGCCGTGAGTCACCCAATTATTTGCCTTTGCAATGCTAATTTGTGACAGCCAATGGGTTTCCACTGAGAACTGGCATTAGCCCTCAACCGACCTTTCCCGAGGTTCTAATTGTAAAGCATGGTAGAAGGCTTTATTTAGTTCATAAAACTGCCACAAATTTTTGACCACTAGTAATGCTACAAACGTTCCCTTCCCTTCTGGACCTACATTCTTGTTTTATTGCAGAGCTGTATTTGGGTAACTCTCCAGGCTAAGGGGTCAGTCTACTGCATGCAGTATCAGAGGGTTCCTGAATATTTGACACATGGCCTCCCTGCGCACCGCAGACCAATTACACTAATAACACTAATGAAACAGCACTTATTATCCAGAGCTCCATTTCAAGCACACAGTTGGATGGTGTCCAATGTGCTCCACCTCAGAGAGGACTGCAGCACAGCCCCGGTGGTTACAAGGCCGGTTCCTCTTCCAAACCACTGCCTGTCTGAGCCTGAAGTCACAGCAAAGTGACACAACGGCTGCCTGGCAAGAGCATGCTGTGAAGACAGTGGGGGATACAGCGGCTCTCCTGGTGGGCCAGCTGCCTTTGTGTGACCTCCGGACCAGGCCCTGAGCTAGCCACCTAGATTTGGTGACTAAAATATTCAGGTGTGCAGGAGGCAGAAAAAAAAACTACCAAAAAAAGCATGTCTTCTCGTGTTCACCTCGTTCATCAGACAACAAAGGGCACTTACAAGTGCCTGGAAGAATGCTGGGTGCCTTCAGGAAGTTCCCAGTGTAGCGGAGCGGCAGACAGGAAAACCAGTGTGACAGAACTGGAGGAAGACAGCCAGGAAGAGTGCAAGGCGCTGCTGGGCGCCTGGACCCCTGAGTGGGGTGAGGGAGGGTAACTGGCCTGGGGGAATGCAGGGTCCCAAGGAATAAGGCTGCAGGCAGAGGCAGCAGGGGCCAGACACCGGCGGCCCTAGGTAGCCTTAAGTTTTTCACAGGCGACAATCGGGAATGACTGAAGCGTGTTTAGCACTCCGAGGCCATATGGAAAAGTACAAGGACACATCACAGACCAGCTGGAGCAGTCTCAACAGTCCGGGTTAGAGACAGGGGGCTGAACTAAGGTGCGGCCCTGGGGGTGGAGAGGAGGGGGTGCAAAACAAGAGGTGAGAGGAAAATCTAGAATGGCTTCCCAGTTTCCAGTTCCGATGGGCGGTACCGCCCCTGGAGCCAGCAATTACAGTTGAGGTGCCTGCACGGTGGGGCCCAGCACCTGGAACACACCTGGCACACAGCAGACACACATACTGAGTCAGCGTACGGAGATATTCACTCAGGGAGTTCAGAGGTCAGGAGACACGCTCACAAGTGATGACTGAAGCCGCAGTAAGTGGGGAAGAGACAGCTGCGAAGGGGACAATCCTGGGGGTGCCACACTGAAGAGGCAGAGGAGGCGGCACAGCCTGAAAAGCACTCAATCCGGGCAGAACACCTTCTTGGGGTGATCAAGTGTCAGCAGAGAAGCCAAAATGAGAAAGTAAAATACCCTAGTGGGCAAACAGGAGAGTAGGGGCAACTGCCAAACCTGCGGGCAGTAAGGCTTACGCTTCCAGAGCTGGGTGCTGCCCTCCAGGGCCTCTCCTGGGGAAGACAGCGCTCGGCTGCTCCAGGGCTCCGGCATCGAGGGAGGGACGTGATGGAGACAGAAGTGCTTCCGGCACTTGATTTTCTAATGCTCCTCCCTGAGCATCCCAGAGCGGGGAGAACAGACAGGTCTTCGCAGGCTGCTCCCCTGGTCTGCCCCCGGCAAGCCATGCCTTTCATTCTGGGCTCCCTGTGACACGTCCCTGTGATCTCAGCCTCCCATGCTATCTCTGAAAACACTTCTTGCCTTATCCAGACATCACAGTGTTGCTGGCATCACACTCCAAACCATCAGAGCACAGCGGTGTGACCTTGGGCAGTTCCCACACGACTGCCCTGGTTCCTTCCAGGCAAAATGGGGACTGGGTTAAAAAAATTCTCCTGGGAATGACATTGGTTTAGAGCAGAATCCTCTGTCTGGTAAGAATACTGGTACTTCACAGTAGAGTGGAAAAGACAAAAAAAATGCCAAATCCTGGATGCTTGGATGGGAAAAAGATGTGAAGCAATGCCAAATCCCAGACAACTCCTGTGCCCTGGGGACAGGCTGTCGCTCCGCTGTCCGCACCGTGGGAGGTGGGCACGACTCCCACCGCTGCAAAGAGCCCAACGCTCTGTGCCCTGCGCCTCGCAAGCCAGGGCCTCGCCTCCTCTCCAGTGTGAGGTGGCAGTGTGGTGCAACCTTTGCAGTCACTAAAACACTAAGAGCTCTCCTGTAAATCCCTAAGAAAAACTTAAGTTCTCATATTGTGTTTCCTAGAAATACTTCGCAATCATGAGGGCAAGTTATTCCCACGAAAGTGAAGCTACTACGATGGCCGCTGTCTGCCATGTCAGCACGATGTTTCAGCTCAAAGAGCGTTCGTCTTCCAGTGTGAGATGCAGTTAGGCTCAGACTCGTCTGAGTTCATCCAAGGTACTTCCTGTAAGTCTTAATTAAGCTACAATTTTAACCCAGAAAAGCAAAAACCCCCCAAAAAGCTCTCTTTATGTTACTCATTGCCAGGAAACATTACCTTTCTTGAGAACATCTAGAAAATACTGCAGCTGTTGTTTCAGACCGGAGAGAAGACACTCTTAACTTCAGTCTGTCAGCCAACCCAGGGAAGGGGTGGGCAGGTGAAAGTGGGCGCTCAGCAGGGATTCGAGGAGGCCAACGTGCAGAAACCCGGGAGCCGTTCTAGGCTTCCCTCCAAGCTTCCATCAGATCTGTCCCCGCGCACCTGCCGGGCTCGCGGCTCCAGCCGCATCCCATGTAACGAGATTCCAGGGCGACATGAGTGTTCTTCAAAAGAGACACACACCGTCTGTTTACAAACTAGAGATACAAACCTTTATTTTGCAACTCTGTCATAGTTCGCTTTCTAATGAGACATGTACTGAGGACACAGTGTAAAATACTGGGAAAGCTGCACATGCCGGGCCTCCCAGGCAGGAGCAGAGACCCGGGCGCTCCGGGGCCGATGCGTTCCTGGGGCTTTCAGGCCATGGACGGGGGCATTGGTATTGTCCAGCCCATTTTACTTTGAGCCGCCTCCTTTTTTGGGGCTGTTAGTCCTCATTTCATGCCAAATTTTCACTAGAGGCTCCCTGTTCTTCCAGATGAGTTCATGACCGTAAGTAATATACCATCTGGGGAAGAGAAAACAAAGCAGGCCCAACATTCAAACAGTGTGACATACAAGTGGTAAGTACAATGATATCAAATTCACATTTAAAAATTAATGCCACTGTCATTTACTACCTAGCTTATTAAAATAGCTGATTGATTGATTTGCTATAAGTCTATGAGTTACCTTTACCACATGGAGTATGGAAAAGACCTAAGAAGGGCGAGACCGCGTGTGACTGATCTGAACAGTCTAAGCGCTTCCTGCACGCACACTCCTCTGGGTCCGCCACAGCCCCGCAAGCCAAGCCTCCCTTCTCCTGTCACCGACATGAGGGAACCACATCTGAGAGAAGGGAATCTGCCCAGGTGCTAACAGCAGGTCAGTCTGCTGAGTCTCAACCTGGTGAGAAAATTCACAAGTAGAGTTTACTAATGACAGCTGGTTTAAATGCTTTTCATCATTTTCCACCTGGCTACACAAAGGGTCATCAGCTCATCCAAATTCTGCCCACCTTTTAAATTACAGTTCCAATCCCCACTCTCCTGTTAAAAACTGCCTAAAAGGAGCCTGAAGCAATGAGCTGAGGAAGAGGAAGCACTTGGAGAGTTTTAGTCTTAACTTGCTCACGCTGCACAGCTAGGAATCACCAAACGCAAACGAGACTCAAGCCTGCGCTCTAACTACTGTGTGCACTCGGCACTGCAGCACGAGGGAGCATCTACTATAAGCTGAAGGGCACAGAATGATTGACAGACGAGAAGGACCTGCTTTTGAGAAGTGGAGAGGTCTAGGTTCTGCAAGACCAGGTGCCCCACCTGAGGGCAGCACAGGCTGCATGAGGCTCTTGTCCTGGGGGAGAGGCCTGGAGAGCTTACTGGAGGAGGTGGGGTTGACCCAAAATGGCTGTCCTGAAACCGTTATTTCTGCCCTGGCTTCCCCAGAGTTCTTGTCCCAAGGCAAAGACCAGGCTTTGTTCGTCTTTGCATCTCCCAGACACCTGACTGAAAAAAATGTTCCTTTTGCTTTAGATTGGTACCAAAGTAGCAGTTTAAGGTTTTACCACTTTTAAATGTTATGAGTATTTTTTTATTATAAGGTGACTGAATTGTACCTAAATCTTAATATTCACTCAAAATAGTTAGAATCTGAACATAAAAAATAAT